ACGTACACGCACACGTACACGCACACGTACACGCACACGTACACGCACACGTACACGCACACGTACACACACGTACACGCACACGTACACACACGTACAACACACACGTACACGCACACACACACCACACACACACACACACCACACACACACACACACACACACACGTACACCGCACACGTACACGCACACGACTACACACACGTACACACACGTACACGCACACGTACACGCACACGTACACACACGTACACACACGTACACGCACACGTACACACACGTACAACGCACACACACGCACACACACACACACACACACACACACACACACACACACGTACACGCACACGTACACACACGTACACGCACACGTACACACACGTACACGCACACGTACACACACGTACACGCACACGTACACACACGTACACGCACACGTACACACACGTACACACACGTACACGCACACGTACACACACGTACACACACACGTACACGCACACGTACAGACACGTACACGCACACGTACACACACACACGTACACGCACAGGTACACGCACACGTACACACACGTACACACACGTACACACACGTACACGCACACGTACACGCACACGTACACACACGTACACACACGTACACGCACCACGTACCACACGTACACGCACACGCACACGCACACGCACACACCACGTACACACACGTACACGCACACGCACACACACGTACACGCACACACAGCATTATGTACTGACTGGTATATGCAGCCGAGGACCTTACATGGCAAGGTCTGCTTCCGTTTCATAAGTAAAGTCTACTGATGGAATATTATCATGGAAGTCTATGCTGGGATAACCCTTCTTCATTTTAAATTCATAATTTTGGCAAAATATTTTTCTTCTTGGAGATATTGCGCATTGCGCCGAGCACTGTTTCGAGGTGAAGTACTGCCTAAATCAAAGTACGTAATATAGCTTGCTGCGGGAGAGAGGGGTGGCGAGACCAACGAAAGGTGGCTAGTGAAGACACGCGAAGGCGGTGGAAGAAGAAGGAGGCTGAGCTGGGACAAGGGAGACAAGGGAAGGGGCGGCGGGAATGAAAAGTAGTATTTTGCATCCTACTGGCTAGGGCCGCTCTCCTAATTTTAATGCACAGTTCTTACTGATAAGATTATTATAGAAAGCCTATGCTGAGATAGCCCCTTACCATCATTAAATGCATTGCCAGCACAAAATATTAATCTCTCTGTGAAATATTGGCATGCGGCCAAAACAGTAACGTACCAGATTATGTACTGACTTGTATATGCAGCCGGCACCTTACATGCAAGGGCTGTGCTTCCTATTTCAATAGTGAAGTCTACTAATGGAATATTATCATGAAATGCTATGTGGGATAATCCCTCTTTATTTTAATAGTCATAATTTGGCAAAAATTTCTTCTTCTTCGGAGATATTGCGGCATGCGCGAGAATCGTTTCAGAGGTGCAGTACGGCCTAAATTAAAGTAGCGTAATATAGCTGCTGCGGAAAGAGGGATGGGAGACCAAGGAAGCGTGGCAGGGAAGACAGCCCAAAAGGCAGTGAGAAGGAAGGAGCTGAAGCGTGCGCAAAGGGAGACAAGGAGGAAAAAGGGCCGGGCGATGAAGTAGTAGTCTTTGCACCCTACTGGCTAGGGCGGTCTTCCTATATTATAACACAGGTCTACTTATACATGAATTTATTATAGAATCCTATGCTGAGAATTTATTCTCCCCTCTACCAGTATTAAATGCATTTGGCAGGCACAAAATATAACTCTCCGGTGATATATTGCGCATGCCGCCGTAAACAGTAACGTAGGCCAGCTTTATTACTGACTGGTAATGCGGCCGAGACCTTACATGCAGGTCTGCTACCTATTCATAAGTGAAGTCTACTGCACTGGAATATTATATGGAAATCTATGCTGAGATAACCCCTCTCTATTTTAATTTATAATTTTGGCCAAAAATATTCTTCTTCTTAGGAGATATTGCGCATAACGCGCACACCCACACGCACGCACACGTACACACCCACACGCACGCACAAAACGCGCACGCATACATGCACACAACGTACACGCCACGAATGGACGCAAAACGTACCATGAACCAGGGAGGTTATACCCAAAGACATACATTACACTTCAAGCAGCGGTATAAGTTGATACATAATTATTATATAATATATACTATATATATATATATTATTATATATATATATAATATATTTATATTATATATATATATACTATATACATATATTATATATATGGTATACTTATATATATATAACAGTGTAGTTAAACAGTCGTAATTAAAATGGAATATATTAGCTTGTTTCTGCAATATTTCTCTCTGTAAGTAAGAGGTTCGGCAGTCACCTATGAAGTGCTGCAAGCATGAACCCCGTCATCGTCCACTGTTGATGCTTAAAGTTCAGAGACGCTTATGTGGCGATCAACACAGTGGCGCCGCGCGCACGCACACACACACCACACACACACACAACACACACACACACACACACCACACACACATCACACACACACACACACACACACAACACACACACACACATATATTGCAACACACACACCACACTACACACACAACACACACATATCACACACAACCACACACACACAACACACACCACACACACACACACAACAGCTTCAATACAGTGTATAGCCGCGCATTACATACATTGATTATAAATCGACAAAATGATGACCTACGCTGTTAAGTGTCCATTTTTCCTAGGTCGACACAATATGCTGGTCCAAAAGTGTCGACTTATGCAAGTTTACTGTACTTTCTATTTTATGCAAGCAAGGAGCAGATCCAGGGGGCAGAAGACACCCCCCCCCATTTTTGAACAATCACTAATTACATACGAAGCAAAAGATCATGTACAATTGTACATGATCCGTGATAGGAAGTGAGTGCGCTTGTCGGTCTGTGCTCCCCTTAATTTTATCAAAACTAGACTCGGACTCTGGACTCGGACTCGACTCGACTCGGTGGTGTGGACTCCGACTCGGACTCGGACTCGGAACTCGGGTGGCGCGGCGACTCGACTCCGACTCGACTCGGGGGGCTGCGGACTCGCACTACAACACGTGTGTGGTGTGTGTGTGTGTGTGGTGTGTGTGTGTGTGTGTGTGTGTGTTGTGTGTGTTGTGTGTGTGTGTGGTCCGTGTGCAGTGTTGTGTGTGTGAAATATATGGAGAGAATAATTCCACAGCGTAGATTCCATAGCGTGCCGCGCGCCAATAGGTATAGCAAACCGATATTACGATGATGATGTGTAATAAGCTGTGATATACTATGTAAATATGGGGAGGGGTGAATATTAACAAATGGTTTTCGTCTGATACTGCTGCTTATATCAGGCGTGTACGCAGTGACTAGTTTGTGACACAAGTAAAATGCCACGTATAACATTATTTGCAAGTAATGCCAGTCTGTGACTTACTATTAATAGGAATGCTGTTCCGTTTGTAATATCTCGGATATATACGGATACAATATGATGCCGATCGAACCACAGTAAATTGTTCTACTAATAATATTTAATATTTTTTGCAGATGATGTTAAGAATGCCGACATTATTAAATTACTTTACTGTTACGCACCGAACCACTGTAAGTAATTGAACGAATTTTATATTTATATTGCTGAATGATTTTCTGTGTATTTTAACAACATTTATTAATACATATTATATGTGTTCTTAAATATATATAGTTGGGTCAACTCTTAATATCTCCTGGCATAAGAACAAGGAAACTAAATAAAATAATACAGTGTGCGTATAATTTCCTTTACATTATACGCCATAACTTATTTTGCATTTAGACAATACAATATTTGAGGCAAATTTGCGTCGCGCCGGATAGGCGATGTCCATGATAAACTGGCAATCGTTGACCTGCCTACTAACTTTCAGACGTCATTTAAACGTGGCGCCATCGTGGTCATGTCGCAGGAAAATTCAACAAAGTCATTGGATTGCCACAGAGGTCAGGTGAGCGTTTCTGTAATGCTATTTATAAGCAATTATTTCCGTTGTAATTAATTACATTGCTCCACTGATTACTGCTGCCCTCTCAATCTCTATCTCTCTCTCTCTCTCTCTCTCTCTTACTCTCCTCTATCTCTCTCTCTTCTCTCTCTCTCTCTCTCTCTCTCTCATATCTCTCTCTCTCTCTGTCTCTCTCTCTCTCTCTCTCTCTTCTCTCTCTCTATCTACTCTCTCTTGCCTCTCTCTCTCTCTCTCTCTACTCTCTCTCTTCTCTCCTCTCTCCTCTCTCTACTATCTCTCTCTCTCTCTCTCTCTCTCTCTCTCTCTCATCTCTACTATCTCTCTCTCTCTCTCTCCTCTCTCTTCTCTCTCCTCTCTCTCTATCTCCTCTCCCTCTCTCTCTCTAATCTCTCCCGCCCTCGGCCCCTCTCTCTCTTCTCTCATCTTATTCTCTTTCTCCCTCTCTCTGCTCTCTCTCTCCCTCTCTTCTCCTCTCTCTCTCTCTCCATCTCTCTCTCTTTCTCTCTCCCTCTCCCTCTCCCTCTCTCCTCTCCTCTCTCCTCTCTCTCCTCGTCTCTCTCTCTATCTCTCTCTCTGCTCTCTCTCTGCTCTCTCTCTATCATCTCTCTCTATCCCTCTCTCCTTCCTTCTCTCTCTCTCTTCTATCTATCTCTCTCTCATCTCTCTCTGCTCGCTCGTCCTCTCTCTCTCTCTCTTCCCTTCCTCTCTCTAAGGTGCTTCCTTCTCCCCCCCTCTCTCTCTCCTTCTTCTTCTTTCTTTCTCTATCTCTCTTTCTTTCATCGATCTCGCTCTCTCTCTCTCTCCCGACCGACCGACCGACCGACCGACCCGACCGACCGACCGACCGCCCGACCGACCGACCACGCGCCCGCTCGCCCGACCGACCGCCCGACCGACCGACCGACCGCCCGACTGGCCGACGTACCCGCTTGTAACTCAGTCCGATGCTCGTGAGAAATCCGGGAGCGATTCTGATGACGACGGCGTTATCGATCGTTGTCATCGTGTGTGGAGAATGCACCGCCACCTGCAGCATCAATCAATCACCCGCCTCCTCAATAATCAATACTCAATAACCAATAATAAATAACCAATAATAAATAATAAGTAATCAATACCCAATAATCAATAACCAATAACCAAGCACGCATAAACCGAAACGACCGTAAAACCGAGGCGTAAACCGTCCTATTGAATTCATCAGCGAGGGGCGCAGCAGTCTTTATACTTACAGTAAAGCCGACGGTGTCGCTACGGTAGCCGTAGAAGTATTCTTCTTCGTCGGCCCACAGAAGCATGGAGAGTCCGTGGTTGCTAGTCGTCTGCGACGTGTACAGCGGCGGTCCGGGCGACCAATCACTTTTATATGTTTGTCGCTCGGTGGGGAACAGCGCGTTGAAGGTGTAGCAATGGCCGAACGTGCGCATGGTGTAGAGAAGATCATCGCGACAACGTCGGCTGGCGAACTGACAGCCGCCGACGAAGTCGTGGCCGCGATGACTCATCCGCGCCAGATCGCTCATCGTCAGATGCGACAGGTTGTAGTCGGCTGCCGGAAAATTCTCGCCCCCGTGGCTCCATCTGTAGGCGGTATAGTCGGCGAGGAATCGCTTCAGGTCTTCGTACTCCGCCAGGTGTCGCGCCGTGGATTTCTTGATGAGGTTGTTGTCGCAGATGGTGACGGCGGGGAATTCTAAACCTCGCGGGTCGTAGTTCACGTCGACGATGGTTTTCTTCGGGTGGGTGGACAGGTAGGTGACGCGACTGTAGGTGAGGTAGAGCATGTAGGACCAGGATGAGAGGATGGCGACGATCCAGCCGAGTCTGAGCAGCAGCGGCAGGCGGCTGTCGAACGCCCAGTGAACACCGTGCAGTGTCGTCTGCTCTGCCTTGCTCGACATCTCGTCTGCTAGTGTGCGACGCCGACGACGACGGACATAAAATCCGACCGTAGAAAAAAACAGTTCTCTACAAATCATCGCATGACGATCGATCGCTAAGTCAATCAATTATCATGCAGCCACGCTAGCTCTGTTTGTTCCATCTGTGACATGTATTATTTGCAGCGATAACATCATGATAGAAGGCACACAGGATGCGCCTTGCTCGATTGTACCTATAGCGCACCTAAACATCGTTCTTACAATGCTCGTGATTTCAACATGGCGTCATTGGCGACAATAGCAAACACAATTTGGCACGCGAGAGCACGCGCACGCTTTACCCCATGCCAGTAATTTGCCCAAAAACCTCCCCTGTGTGTGTATAGGTTCAATAGACGCGGTGGCAACGCAAACATCATGTGTACAAACCATAGAAATTATATACGAAGATAGTAGATATCCTAGTGAATTATTCCTATGGTCGCCCTGGACTGGCTGGCTATTCCATCTGGCTGTCGAACAACAACGATGAATCGTTGGTTGTTGACCTACATCTAGACGAATATCAACGTCGACTGACATTCAACAGCTCACACGTAGGGACCTTTTCATGTTTCAGATATTTATTACGATATATGCATGAATCTTCGATGTGTTATTGTTGTTGTGATGCGCACTGATTCAGTTGTCTTCACTGGATCCACTGTCCTTGGATCGGAAGTCAATGTTTGCGCTTAAAATGCTACACATATACGCATGATAATTACTTGTTACTGAAGAAAGGTTGTAGTTTATTATTTATAGTTTAATTGTGTTACATACTATGTATATATATATATATATATATATCAGCTTGCTTGGCCCCGTGCACTGGCTCTAACCATAACATAATGTAAGTAACAGATGACCAGGGAATCTATAGGTAGCTTTCCCGCCGTATATCAGTACATTATAGTAGTACCCCACCCGGCGCGCGCGCAAATGCGCGCACATACACACACACGCACGCGCACGCACCACACACACACAACACTCACACACACACACACACACACACACACACCACACAGCACACACACACACACACACACACACAACAACACACACAACACAACACACACACACGACACAACACAACACACACACACACACACACACACAACACACACAACACCATCACACACACACACACCCACACACACACAACACACAACAAT